TGGAGAGGAGAGGAGAGGCGCCATGCCGCTTCGCCCGCCTGCCTGCCCGCCCGCGGCTTCCGCTCCTCTCCCCTCCTGGCCGCTGGAGGCCGAGCGTTTCTGCGCCAGGGCCCCGCAAGGTCGCCTGCAGCTGCCTCCCGGACCCCCGTGGGGCGAGGAGGAGGAGGAGGAGGAGGAGGAGGAGGAAGGCTGCCTGCCTTCGCAGACGGGGCCTCCCTCGCCTGGCCTGGCCTGGCCTGCGGGCCGAATGGAGGGGGAGAGGGGGAGCCTTGGCGGCCTCGCAGCCGAGGATCTGGCCATTACCTCCTATAGTGACCTGGCTCGCCCCGTCAGTCCCAGCCGCCCCCGGGAGTCCCTGGGCCCCTCTCCAGGCGCAACGCGGGCCGCCCTGGGTGGCCTGGATCCAAGGCAGGGCCTGGCACCCCCTTGGGGCTTGGCCTTTGCCAGGGGCCACCGCAGCAGCTAGGGAGGCCTTCATGTGGAAGGCCTGAGGGGGGGGGAACACACCACACCACACCCCCATCCTAGACAAGTTTGTTTGGGTACCTGCCAGATGGACTCCCAACTTGTGAATGTGGTTACATTTATAACCGTCTCCTGGGAAGGGCTCCCGCAGAACACCGGCTAGGTCGGATCCAGGGGCAGATTTCCACAGGTGGGAAGGTGGGTGCGCTCTTCCTTTCAGGTCAGAGAGGACTGCGCCCTGGAGGGCAGCTCCTTAAGAAAGGAGGACTGAAGTTCTGGGGGCTGAGGAGGTGGAAGACTCTTGAATCGCTGTGTTAATGCTGTAAGTCTGTGGGTATGCAGTGAAGTGCAAGCATCTCTGTTTCCAGCCAGCAAGAGTGGAAAATCAAAGCCAAAACTTTTCACAAAAACATATTTGAGACTGAAAGTTGGAAACGTTTGTTCTTGCTGAATGTGTTCATTTCTGAAAGTTATGCAAACAGGGCTTAAAAGCTCTGCAGAATACGGGCTGTGTTTTTGCACCTGGAAGTCATGGTGGCCTCTGGTGACAGGTTCAGAGAGGTGGCTGAGCAAAGCCTGCCCCTGCCTTCTGCCTCTGGCATTCCAAGGAGGTCTCCCATCCGCATACTTGCCAAAGGCTGGCCCTGCTTCACTTCCGAGATCCGACGGAATCAGGCTGGCCTGGGCTACCCAGGTCAGGGCCAGAAGGAAATGTTACTTGGCCTGGGAAAGTATTTTACTTCGTCACCAGCCCGGACATTACGTTCACCTGGACAAGGAGCTGGGCAACCATGCATTTTGGGAGAGTCCATGGTGGCACTCCTCATACCCACACGTGCCATGTTGTGTGGACGGGGACAACATGCATATTTAGCATGTGCATACAGCTTTTGTATCCATAAAAATGAAAACCTTGAAAAACCCAGTGGTTAGTGTGAGTTAGTGTGAGCTAGCTCACAGTTTTTTAGCCTCCAGGTCACACGTTTTTGTCTTAGCTCAGGAAGGATGGCTCCAGAACAAACTAATTTATGCAGTAGCCAAATCACTTGCTCACAACCTTAATGCCAGTAGCTCACAAAGTAGAATTTTTGCTCACAAGACTCAACAGCTTAGAGGGAACATTGCTCTTGGGTAAGGTCATGTGGGCTCCTGGTAAGTGCTGAGGGGGGGACCACGGTGGCTCTCTTGGAGTATGTGAAGGGCTGTGTCCCTTCGAGGAGGGCAGGGAGCTGTTCCTCTTGGCAGCGGAGGACAGGGGGACTCACAAGAATGGGTTTAAATTAAGGGCGGGAAGGTACCAGCGGGATATCAGGAGAAAACCTTTTTGTCAGTCAGAGTTGTGCGACGGTGGAATCGGCTTCCTGGGGAGGGGGTGAGCTCCCCCCCCCGGCAGTCTTTAAGCAGCGGCTGGACAAACACGTCTTGTCAGGGATGCTCTAGGCTGACCCTACATGGCCTTTATGGCCCCTTCCAGCTCCGTGGTTCTATGAACTGATAAGGCCTACTGTTAGGATGTTAAATTAAAAAAACCCCTCTCCCTATTTGCCCCTTCTTCTATCTGGGGCATTGTGTAGACAGGTCTGCAGTTGAGAGACAACCAGATTATTCTTGCTTCGTTTTAGATAAGGCCATCATCACGGGTGCACTCCAAAGCAGAGTTAAGCCCTTCTAAGCCTATTGGACTTAGGACTGCCCTGTCCGTCTACCATGAGGCTTTGGCACCGGACACCTTTTTAGATTCCTTCAAGCCCTCCGTGCATCTTCATGACATCCAGAGAACTAGACAGATGTAGGGCCTGAGGGTAGTTTAATGTAACCCTGTGAGAAGTCTTCCTAGCGATTAATTTGTGTGTGTAGGTGCAGGTGTTTTTTCCATCAAGTTGCAGACAATTTATGGCGACCCCAAAGGGTTTTCGGGGCAAGGGATGAGCTGGGGTGTTCTGCCATTTGCCTGCCCCTCTGTAGCAAGCAGTATTCCTGGCTTCCCAGGGAGGTCTCCCATCCAAGTACTAGAACAAGTGCTGGCCCTCCTTAGCTCCCGTGATCTGGCCGGATTGGGCTAGTCTGCGCTGTCCAGGCCAGGGCTTGGTTAGTTTACAGACAAGGAAGAAAGAGTTGCCTGTAATTGTCTGTTGGGGACCAGCCAGGGGCTTGGGCGACTGTCTCCAAATCCGGTGGGTTTTCTCGTCTCGTTTCCTGGGATCTGTTACTAGCAGTGGAGGGGTCCAAACTTGGGACCGGAGCTGGCACTACAGTTTGGCTTTGGGGGCTGGAGCACGGCTGGATGTGGGCCCTGAGCGGCACCCGTGCCGGAGGGGCTGGCGCTTGGCCTCCATGTCAAGAGTGCACTGTCCTCTGGAAACGGGTGCGTGTTTTAAACTGCTTAATGATCATCAATGTCTTTATGCTCCGGTTGGTGGTTGTATGAAGGATTTTAAATGTTTTATGCTTTTAGTATGTCTTATTTTGTAAGCTGTCTCAGACTGCATTCAAATAGCCTGAAATAACTAAATAAAATTCTTGATTTGGGGGGGGGGAGGTTAGTGTATAAGATCGTAGTGTTTTCTTTCATATATTGATACATACTTTCTGTAATTTAAATACAAAATTGCAAAAAAAAAAAAAAGATGCCAAGAGTTGGGGGGACCCATGTGGAGGAAAAGCCACGCTACCTGGGGGCCGTGCTGCTTTTAGTGAACGTGCTACTCCATCATTCAAATTCGTCAGTGCATCTGTTAGTCTTTAAATGGCATCCCGAGCCACCTTCTTGTGTTTTGCTGTGACACGCTGCCACAAGTACCCCCGTGGAATCCCTGTGGCATCTTTTCAGAGTCTGTTTCAACAGGACCTTCTGTGAGTAGGGGCTCATGTCCTCAGACGCCCTGGAGGTGATGGGTTCTCTGTGGGATGGTGAACATCATAGACTCGCCATGGTGTATTCTGGCTCCCCTCTGTTTTGTCAAGTGGTGGGAGCCTTTTACCAGTATCCTGCTTGTCAGAGTCTTCTTGAATTTGTTATAGGAAGTACAGTAAAATGGACTGTACCATTATGTACCTTGGGTGAAAGATTGCATTTTAAATATTCCTTTTTAAAAAACTTCTTTATTTTCAAAACAAGCAAAAAACATAAAATTGGGGTACAATATTCCATACTGGGAAAGATTGAAGGTCAAAGAAGACGGGGACGGCAAAGGCTGAGATGGTTAGACAGTGTCATAGATGCAACGAACATGAAATTGAGCACACTTCAGAGGACGGCGGAAGACCGGAAGGCCTGACGTGATCTGGTCCATGGGGTCGCGAAGAGTCGGACTCGACTGTGCGACTGAACAACAACAACAAACAATATTCCATATCATTCTTTCCTCCTATTAAACTACCTCATACATTATCAAAATCTATATCATTTCCCCACCTTATGGTATCATATAATATTTGCAAATATGTGGATTAGCAGTTTCTTACTTTCTACTAATATGGACTTTGTCTAAGTAATTTATCAAAGTTATTTCATTGGGTATATAGAGATGCATAGTTCTTTATTTTCTTCTGGAAGCAAATATATTAGGATCTTACTCCATTATAAATCTCAGAAATTCCCTGAGAATTTTCCCATCCTTTTTATGACTGTCCTCTTTTCCTTGATCTCTTGATTTCTCCTCTTAAGTTTTAATATCTTAATTCTATGTCTTTTCCCCTTATAAGTGTATACATTGTCTTCTGGAAGTAGCCATCTGTACTCAGTCTTGGAGATGGTTTGTAGTTCCATGTATTGGTTTCTTTGCTCTCTTTGGGGTGGTGTGTGACTCATTATTTTGGAAATTTCATCAGCAATGATTCTTTTATAAAGTCTCTGATGCACTTTTATAGCAACTTTATTTCTCTTTGTAAGTGCAGACTCCTTCCTGTAGATCCTGTCAACTTGATTGTAGGTTTCCTCTATTTCTCCTCTTTCCATATCTCCTTCTTAGTTGAGGCCTGATACACCAGTATTTCCATTTCATTTTGTGCAGGGTAGAGGATTTCGTCAACAATGATTTTTACAGCCATACCGACTGTGTTTTGAATCATACACTGCAAGTCTTTCAAAGAAAGCTGTAATAAGTCATTGTCTATAGGTTCCACTATATCTTAGAGAAATAAATCCTCTGGGGCCCTCCGCAGTCTGTGTCCTCTATTTTAAATATTCCTGTATGTATGTATGTAAAAAAAAAATCAGTTTCCTAGCAAATAGGAAACTAGCACAGCCGGGAGAAGGACATTCCTCTTTATTGTGCCACTTGCAAGGAGTACAGAATCTATCAAAAATGCCCCCCCCATTTGAAATGGTACATCCCACTCAACCATCTAATTCTGTCCTGTGTGCAGATCTTGCCTTGTTTAGATGTGACCTTAATGGGCAAGGAGAGCACACACTTGCTGTTTTGCATGTGTCAGTCATTGCTCTTAAACTGGGCTGCTGCTCTGTTGGCAACGTTTGTATACTTTACAAGGGGTGGGAAAGTAAGAAGCCTTGCTGGATTTCTTGTTTTTTGTTTCTCACAGCATCCTTGCATTTTGCACCTTGAATGCATCCTGTTTTCTCTTTCTTTAGTACGTTGTTATTGTGCCCCTCATCCCTGAGGCTTAGGGAGACACCCGTGATGCCCCCTTCCCTATTGTATGCTGTGCGGTTGGTTAGGCTGAGAGTGTGTGACTGGCCCAGGGTCACTGGCAGGTTTCTGTAGCAGAGTGGGGATTCGAACCTGAGGCCCTGTTCACACTAGACGGTTTGGGCCGGGAGAGGGACGGATTGGGGCCGCAGCAAACGGGCGCGATCCCACAGCAACATCTGGGAATCGTGCTGCGCCCGTTCCCAGCCCGTTCCCAATCCGCCCCTCCCGGCCAAAACCCACTGCCGGCCGTGGGATCGCCGGCGCGTCTTTTTGCCGGCGCATCCCCGGCCGTACTGCACATGCTCGAGCATGCGCAGTTCGGCAGCCTCCCCCTCCCACTCGTCTCTTCCTCCCCGGCATCTGATCGTGCCGGGGAGCAACGGCGCCGCAGCTCAGGATTGTGGGATCCCGCCGTGGCATCTCTTTTTTGGTGCGGCTTTTAGAAGCTGCGCTTTGCCCAGTGTTTTCCCTGCTGTGTGGCAGGGGCCTGGGTTTTGCAGATCTTAGCCTGACACTCTGACCCCCCTGGCTCTCCACACTGTAGTAACAAATCCGAGGCATGGCCTGAGGAGGTTAGTGATTATCCCAGGATAACAGATCATATAAACAAGTTCTGATACCGTTCTCTGGTCTGCTGATGCTGTGCAAGGAGACCTTGTTTGAGAAAAATTTTCCCTATTAACTGTTGCTCACATAACAAATAGGCTCCTAGAAATACGTTTGGCATGATCATCCATATAAACTTGTAGCATGTGATTTTATATATAGTAGCTATAAATACTTTACTTAATTAGGCTATGCACTTTTGGGGTGTGTGCTGTACACGTATTCTGTTTCACCAACGATGTAGTCACTTGAACAAAGTTTGAGTCCAGTGGCACTTTTAAGTCCAACAAGGTTTAATCCTGGGTAGAAGCATTTGTGTTTTGCGCGCACACATCTTCAGATACCTGGGTTAAATGCATCCAACTAGTTTAGCGATGAGAAGCTTCAGTTCCATAAAACCTCAAATAAACCATTCAAAATGACACACACCCCCTTCAACTTTTATGATGTTTAGAGTTGGGAGATTTAAACCTGGGGCTGCTTGATGGGGGATAACGATTCATTTTTAATTGTTTGCACTCTTATTTTATTTTACTTTATTTCATCTACTTTATTTATAGTCTGCCTTTCTTGCTGCGGTGGCTCAAGTGGTTAAGACACTGAACTGCAGGCTGTGGAAGGTTGGTAGTTCAGCAGTTCGAGACCCGGGTGTGCCGCATGACGGAGTGAGCTCCCGTCTCTAGTTCCAGCTCCTGCCAACCTAGCTGTTTGAAAGCAAGAAATTGCAAGTAGATCAGTAGGTACCACTTTGGTGGGAAGGTAACAGCGTTCTGTGCGCCTTGGTGTTTAGTCATGCCGGCCACATGACCACAGAAGCGCCTTCGGATAGTGCTGGCTCTTTGGCTTGGAAACGGAGATGCGCACCGCAACCCTAGAGTCGGACTCGACTGGCTTTCGAGCAAGGGAACCCTTTACCTTTACTTTTTACCTTTCTTGCTAATTCTCACGGTGGATTGCAGGATACGAACAGTGCAGTCAGGCAGCCGAGGGTGACCCAACAACGATGCGGTTGGGCAGGATTACAGAATTAGAGAACAATGCAAACCACGGGCTCTCTAAGGTGAACCATACAGAGAGTGGATCACAGGTTATAAGGCAGTGCAGTAAGAGCAGGTGATAACCTTTGCAATGGATTACGATCCTGTTTCATTCTAAAGCTGCCCTCCTGGGTTGTTCTGCTGTACTACAACACCAGTACATCTAGAGTCGAGTCCAGCATCGCCTTAGCGGCCAACCAGATTTTCAGGATATGAACTTTCAAGAGTCAAAACTCTCAGAGATTCATACCGTGAAACTGGTTTGTCTCTAAGGGGCTGCAACTGTCAGAGTCTCGCAGCACTCAGTTCTCAACAACGGTCCTTCATAAAGGTTCCAAGTTTATCGAGTACAGTAAAGGCAAGTCATCTGTGCATACATTCAGTGTCGGAACTAATCCTAAAGGTGGGAAGGGAATACTAGATAAACGGGGTTCGAAGTGGGGTCCCCTGCCTAGGTCGAGCCAATCAGGGGATTAGTTACAGCGGCTTAAGCTAACGGGTTCACATTCCCAGCAAAGCAGCAGGAGAGCGGATCCAAAGTGAGACTCTCAGGCTAGGAGATGAAGAGAAAGCCCCCCCCCCCCCCCCCCCCCCCCGCAATGGCAGCAGAGCTGACTCTACTGCACTCAAATCTGGTGGTTCTACTACAGACCAAAACAGCTACTCTTGGAAACTAATATCAATATGACAGAGTTTGAGTCCAGGGGCACCTTTAAGACTAGCAACATTTTATTCAAGGAATAAGCTTTCGTGTGCTCGCATGTTTCTTCAGACACAATGACATGGAAATGACCAATTCACCCATATAGGTAGTATAAGGTAAAGGTGAAGGTTCCCCTTGCTCGAAAGCCAGTCGAATCCGACTCTAGGGTTGTGGTGCTCATCTCCGTTTCCAAGCCGAAGAGCCAGCGCTGTCCGAAGACGTTTCCGTGGTCCTGTGGCCGGCAGGACTAAACACCAAGGCGCACGGAACGCTGTTCCCTTCCCACCGAAGTGGTACCTATTGATCTACTTGCAATTTCTTGCTTTCGATCTGCTAGGTTGGCAGGAGCTGGAACCAGAGACGGGAGCTCACTCCATCATGCGGCAACTCAGGTCTTGAACTGCTGAACTACTGACTTTCCACAGCCCGCAGTTCAGCGTCTTAGCCACTTGAGCCACTGCAGCTCCTATAGGTAGTGGGTGAGTGGTAAATTACAATACAGCATAATGAAGATGTTTAACAGATTCAAGGACTAAACAGGAATAGCAAGCTTAGTTTCTATGGTCACCATTTGTTTGGGTTTAATTCCATGGGAAAACACAACGAAGGAAATAAATATGTCAGGATTGGAGAAGGAGGGGCAGACATATCCTGAATTGTGGGATACTGAGAGTAATTAACTGAGACCCTGCCGTGACGCGCCCTCCGTCTCCTCTCAAGCGTGGAGGTGGCCTTACATGCTGCTTCTTCGTTGAAGTGGGGCCATTGGCTGTGTAGCGTTATCTCCCCGGCTACCCACCTGAATCTAATATCAATATAGTTTGTCCCTGAGGATACTTTAGTGGATAAAATAACTTCATTCTACCATATAGTTGCACTTACTGCGTGAACTTACAAACAGTTAACGAGTATTGATTTTTCAGCCTATTATGAGAAGAGTATGCATTAAAATCTTTCCTTGCAATAAGAGAAGAATTTGTTGTTGTTGTTGTTCAGTCGCACAGTCGAGTCCGACTCTTCGCAACCCCATGGACCAGATCACGCCAGGCCTTCCGGTCTTCCGCCGTCCTCTGAAGTTGGCTCAACTTCATGTTCGTTGCATCTGTGACACTGTCTAACCATCTCATCCTTTGCCATCC